CCCTCATCATTTCACATTGAAATATATCCACGGGCACTCTCTGTATAGGTACTAGTCCCATATAGCTGCCATTAAAGAGTACAAATAATACTGTTAGCCAGTGCAGTTTTTATAGTGCTGCTAATCACAACTATAGTGCAATATGAATTCACTTTCATTTTCTTTAGCTTAAAGCTGTTCAGAATACTCAATGTCTTTTCAAAACGTATTGACATCATTGCAAATGGGAAATAAAAATGGAAAATAACAAATATGTTCAAACCATTCCAACAACAATAAGTGCACTAAAGGCTCAGTTATCTTCATAACCCATACAGTGTACAGTAAACCCTTAAACACAAATGTTTGGAAATGTAAAGAGAAGAAATATTAAAGTATTGTAATAAATGTAAAGATAACAAAACCCTTCACCTAATAAATTACACTTGTCAAGTAATCAGGTAACCAACAGTAGTATTATCGTGGATGAATATAAACAACCACCTTCAGTGTCACAAGGATGCCCGTTGCCACGGCAACAACTGCAGCACAACCGGCGAAAATCGCGGACTTTTTCTAGTGTCAAAAACTCGATCTAAAGCACTCAAAAATGTCATAAACGGTCTCCCAGTAACTTCACATAAACTATTAAATCTTAAGGGATAAGTTGAGGTTGTTTTCACGTTGTACTAACCTGAAAAACAGAGTGAATGATCACAGGATCAAGAACAACGAACCATTCTCTTTCGTTCCCAAAACTCCTCTGAGGGGAGGGAGCACCTGGAAACACGGGCTATGACAGAAAGGTTCCGTTTCTCATCCTAGCGATCTACAGCGGATTTCTACTGATATTATTTGGCTGAATAACCATTACAGTACATTAAAAATACTTTTAACTTGCATTTTCATTTTCAAGTAAAATAAAAACTATTTCACTCTTTGTGAGGGTCTCACAAAAGTGACATGTAAAGCATATTTCTGTTATGTCAACAGGCAAAATGACTGTTCTGTATAATTACGCCGGTATTGTTCTTCAAGCGAATTATACTTTAAACCGTATTATACTGTACTGTAAATAAACTATACGTTATTGAGTATTAAAACAAAACGTTTGCAGTATTAACAGCCCAGTACAGCTGGACTAATGTTATTTCTTCAGCTGCATTAAGCTTTAACAGCTCTAATACTTTGTAATAAACTGTTTGAGAATAAATAGATCCGATTAGTCAGGGCTACGGCTATCAGTACAGTAAGATGTAGGTTAAAATAAAAAATAGTGACATTTGTATGAAGGCTTTTAATTGTTGATGAACATCACGTATCAACAGGTTAGCTCTTAGCTTTAGCTTTAGCTGCTCCTACACATCCCGGTGGCTCCGATACGTCATGTATTTTAATAGATGTTCATTAAAAAAAAAAAAAAAAAAAAACTACTTACATTTAAAGGTGTTCTCCGCACTACTGCCGGCGCAGCTGCTGCTTTCGGTTGTCCATAACTTGAAGAAAATCCGACTTTCTTCTTCTTCCTCTTCTTCAACTACTTAAAAAAAAAAAAAAAAAAAAGAGCGCGCAAAGCACCGGGAGGCGAGGCCACTAAGGACGGTAGCGATGCATCCTCAGAATTCGGGGAAAAGGAGGACGCATTTTAAGGCTGCATTTTAAGTGTCCTCAAAATTTTTGCCAAATGGGTTATACAGAGCGTATGGCGGGTTTTACCGCCATACGCTCTGTTGCTTAGCAACCGTGAAAGTTGACACACAAAGCAGGAAAAGAATGAAAACCGAAGTTTCCAAAACTGTTTGTTTATTTATTTCTTTTTTCTTGTAAAGTGAACAAAGACTGATGAGAATCCAGAGTGGAATAAAGGTTCCAACCACCGGGAGCAGGAACCAATCAAATGTAATGATGATGTTGGAGCCGTTTTGCATCTGTTTTGTTTTTTTCTGAATTTATTATGAACTTATTCGCATTCTAATTCTCCTGATTTAGTTTTGAATTAGTTGGAAATATGTCTGTTTTCGTTCTGATTGGTTTATTTGCCATCTCTTCCTCTCTGGTGGGCGTGACGTTGAGCTGATTTGATGAATAGGTGCTGTCACCTGCCACTCAGGTAGAGTGGAAGGGACAAACAGTTTTTCAACCGCGTGATGCGGGAGGGAGCGCTTTTGTTTTGTACGTTCATATGTCAGTGAAAGACAAATAAATGCCTCTATTTTTCGAAGACGCACGTTGGATCTGATCCATATTTCTAGTGATGGTGAGATGAAGCCTCATGAGGCATTGAACCGTTTGGCCAAATTGCTTCAACGATCCCCACAGTTCATGAGGCTTCATGTGAACATGTCACCACCTACTGGTGGGCAGCAGAACTACAGTTTATAATAAGATCTGTGATTTTTTTTTTTTTTTTGCAATTGTTTTTCTTTTTTCCCCCTTTTAAGTTCCCTTGAAATTGTTAATGGTTGGTGTGTATAATAAAATCTTTTGTGAGTTTTTTTAAGTGTAAAATTTCTTAGAACAATAATTTAAGGTGAACCGTTTTTCTGCCATTTTAGTGAAATAAACTCAAGCAGACAGTGAAAGTGTTTGTGCAAATTGGGCAATGATGAACGAAATTAAAGGTGTTAGTCATTTTTATTCAAACATGATAGTTTTTTCATGTTTTTTGGTTTTAATCAGGTTGGAAGTTATGTTCAACCAATCTTTTTACTAAACCGACCTAATTTACCCAATCTATATTTTTACTCGGGCAAAACAATGCAAATTAGTCTCATCAGCCAAAATAATTAAGTTTAATCGCAACTTTCAAAAGAGAGAGACAGGTTTTGAACTGTCAGCCTCCAGCATGAGAGCCTGTCCCACAGAGGACGCCACTCATGTGGTTAGTCCGCTCTGGGAGAAAATACTTCTTAACCCTGACGTATTAACACTGGCTTTGTCTGTTGGTTTGCTCAGATTTTGATCATTACATTGTTTTTTCTAACCAAATTAGCTTTAAGCAACTAGATTGGTTGGAAAAACAACCAATCTATTCTTAGAATCCATCCAAACTTTATCCAGCTGACAGCAGCTCTCCTCCAAACTCCCACATCTTGACTGAACACTGAGGCTGTTTAGATGCCTGTCAAAACTCTTGCACTTCCCGAACCACTTACCGAACCGGTCACGTGGTTTCACGGTAGCGAGGCCTCGGACGTCATCAATTTTGGCCCCTCCTCTAAATGAATCACGCCTCGACACGCGCTTCGGGGAAACGCCCCTCCATTACTCAACCCACGCATCGAAGCCTCGGCTCATCTCATAACATCACTACATATTTCCACTCTGAAGCGGTGGCTCCGAAGTTGCCACTACATTAGGTTGAAACACTGTCCCGAAGTGTCGGATATTGCCCGATTGTGGATTAACGTTTCCAATTGTGGATTACTTCAACACGTGTGTGGACTTAACGTTACCTGGCAATCATCGCCTCAGCTGTTGTGTGAGTAACCTGGTGGCTTATTGTTCTTCGACCCAGGTGAGCAAACATTTCGAGAGGACTGGAACATTGTTTGGTTGGATAATAATGTTAACAGCGCAATCGCTCATCTAATGTGACTGTTGCTGAACTGAATGATTATTGGAAGCGGATACTTTTAATGTCATTTGACAATGTTAAAACGATCAAAAAAACTGTTTGTGGACGTTATTTGAACCGCTGACTAAAAGGAAACAAACGGGCCTGCAATAAAAAAGAACTAAGTTTAAACTCCTATCAGATTTATAGTTCCCACCCTGCAGATATATTAGAATCTGTCCTTTAATTACAGCCAAACCCAAAGAAGAAATGGCATAGTTTGAAAGTATAATTGAATATTGTAATCCACTGAAAGCATGAGGTGCTTAATAGAAATTCAAACAGAAGTATGTAATTTTTTTTTTCAATCATTTATGGAACTGAAGAAGTAACCGTTTAGGTAACAGATACCGATGGGCGTGGTTTAAAAAATGTGGTAAGATGTTTAAGGTTTGAGACAAACAGGATGTTGGGTTTTTTGTCTTCGCCTCAGAGAAAGAGAACTTCGACAGATGACAACGGAACATCATTCTTTGATGTTTCTACCTGATCGTTGGGGTTGGAGACAGAACTCACATTTTTCTTCTAATCCCTTCAGTCTTTTTGGCCTCCAGCAAGGGTTTTATCTTTACACCTGCGTGGGAAGAAACATTTTTACTTTTTCCATTCTTATTGTTTCCAGCCTAGTTAATCCTTTTCATTTTTGATTGTTTTATTTTTATTTTTTATCCTTCTGTATTGTTTCAAGTCTTTTTTTATCCTTTTCATTTTTTATTGTTTTATTTTTTATCCTTTATTGTTTCCAGTCTAGTTTATCCTTTTCATTTTTGATTGTTTAATTTTTATTTTTTATCCTTCTTTATTCTTTCCAGTCTAGTTTATCCTTTTCATTTTTGATTGTTTTATTTGTATTTTTTATCCTTCTTTATTGTTTTTATTCGCCTTTTTGTGGAAAAGATTCTTCAAGGGTTCCAGTTTGGATTATTATACACATTTTGGAGGCTGGTTCTTTCTTCCGTCCGCACCCTCGCAACATCCGTGAACTGTGAATGCAGCTCCAATGCAAAAAAGCCCATTCCTTCTACTAACAAACTAATCAGTCTGATTAGAACTGTTGCTTTGGATTAAAAAACTGGGAGTCAGTCAGTCAGTCAGGATGGAGAACAGCCAGCTAACGGAAAGAGGTACAGGTCCTTTCTACCGACCGATGGGTCCTGAAACACAACATGCAACGAACTGGACTTGGTCCAACAGACCAAACTAGAACATAAAATGTTCTGTATGAAGCAGTAGCGGCAGTCTGCATGTATTTAGGTTGGATTGCCTCTCTCATTGCACGCCAGTGCGAGAGGGGAAGCTCAAACTTTGGGAATGAAGGACGTGGCCGGAAATGCTGACTTCCCAATCCTGATAGACCTTACGCTGTTTTCTCGAATCCCAATACATCGTTCTGTTGGATTCATCAGAAAAAAACATTTTTATGATCTTCAGGATGGAGCTAATTGGCGGGATTATAAGAATTTTTCTTCTCGTGATCTTTGGTTGCTCCATTGTCGACACTCCAGGTGAGTTTTATTACATCCAAGCAGGGATACGCTGCGAAGGCCCTTTATAATCTAACTTATTTTTGATGCTTTACTAGAAAAAAACACGCAGGAATTATTTTGACATGATGTAAATAGCCGCTGCACTGACATTTCGACTGGATTATCTGTTCTGGACTGACTCAGATCGACTTGTCAATCGGGTTTTTGGCTATCATGGAAGCTAACTTAGCATGACTCCGCTCATTGCAGCAAGTATTTGATATTATTTTTTAGGGTTTTAATGACAGATCTCAATCTTTATTAAATCGGGTTGTCATGGGCATTAAAGCAGACAGATTGATGAAAATGAACCTGGGTTGAGATGACCTTTAACGTTTATTAGGTCTGAGCAGCGACAGCGTCTATTGGGCCTAGCTAGGTTAGCATAGGGACCATAGGGACATGTCCCTACCAAAATTTTGGACCGACCCATTTGTCCCTACCAATAATTGGATGTGTTTATAATTTACTATCCAGCTTTGTAGCAGCAGTGGCTTCTTTTCTTCTGTCTGCTGTTTCCTGTATTTTTCACATAGCAGCACAGGGTAGGCCTACTGTGCTGCGCTGTTTAACTCCACCCTGATTTTCCTGCCTTAAGTTTTTCCTTCTCTCTTCCCGATTGCTCGTTTTCTAGTCTGTATGTGTGCCGCTTGCTTGGAGCACGAAATAAAAAAATAAATAAAAAAAGACGCTAGAATACGGCGGTTACCAAATTTAATATTAGGCTACTAGACTAGTCCCAATTAAAAAACTAAATATTATCTAGGCTAAAACAGGCGAGAGCTTCTGATTGCAGTTCTGTAAAGAAGCAGGAGAGAGTTTGGATTTGATGAACTTAAATGAAAGAAACCAACATTAGGATTATATTTCTAAAACTAAATATTCTGAGTCAGACAGGAGTTCAGAAAACTGCTGTTAAAATGAACAAAGACTGAAAACTATCAACGTTTCTGATTCCCTTTAACAATATTTCTATTACTGTCTTCATTTGGATGGCAGTTCAGGTAGAAATAACAGCTTTTATTTCTTTTGTAGAACACAACAACATGAGAACGATGCTGAATATCTGCCATTTTTTTCCCCACGTAAAAATAGTTCTATTTAATTTTAGTTCTACTTCTAGAAATAGAATAAAGACCAACAGAAGAACTCTATTTACACTGATTCTATTTTTCTAGATTTCCACACATCCATGAGTAAATTAGTACATTAATATCTGGTAAAAATGCTTGAATCTGGCTGTTTATTTTGGATACTATTACATTACAGATAAGATAGTGTTATATTGTCTTTTATAATTGTTTAGGTATTTTATATTTGAATAAACTTAGGCTCATGCTTAGTGTTGTGTTTGTAGATGATGTCACTAAAAAAGAAAATAGACATGAGGAGCTATTTAAACAGTCAGACAGCAGCAATATAGGATGGTGATAAAAGGTTGTTACATTTAATCCTTTACTATTAAAAACACTTGTATAATAGAAACATTATATGATTGTAGATAACCCAGATATGATGCTGCAGGGCAGCCTCAGGGTGAAGCAGCTGCTGCATGATGGAAGAAACGTATTTGGAAAGTTGCCATAAAATTAGAGCTGCGACTAATGATTATTCTGAAAATTGATTAATCTGTTTATTTTTTCGATTAATCGATTAATAATCAGATAGCAAAAGGTTCCTTAAAGATTATTTTTTTTAACGAAATTAAACCAGGTGAAACAAACGTTTCCTCTTGAGGAGTTCTGGATGGTTGTCTCCAGCTGGTGAAGAAGTGAAGTGTGGAACTTGTTCTGCTGGTTTTCAGAGATTTGATTAGTTCATCAAATCTGGATCCATCCAGAACAGAAACTTTGAAACTACTTGTTTTAAAATCTATTCCACAGAGTACCTCTGTCTTAGTATTTTGGTCTCTGTCTCATCACTCTGGTGCTGCTTGACCTTTAACCTCTGTGTTCTGCTGTGTTTCCCTCTCCTGCAGGTCAGAAAACAATCAAAGCAAAACCTGGACAAGACGTCATTCTGCCGTGTAAAGTCACTGATCACCAATCAGTGACAGGTGTGGAGTGGACCAGAGAGGATCTGAAGGAAGAACATGTCCTCCTCTATAAAAACAACAAAGATGATCCAGATGGCCAGCATCCGTCCTACAAGGACCGGGTGGATCTGCAGGACAGAGAGATGAAGGATGGAGACGTGTCTGTAGTCCTGAAGAACGTGACACCTAATGACAATGGAATATATGAGTGTCGGCTGGAGAGAGAGATATTTGATCCTACCCCCATCTGCTCCATTCAGCTGGTTGTTCTTCCTCCAGGTGAGTTCTAGGCTGGTTCTGAGATAATAGTTTCTCAGTCATGGCCTCCCTGATCGATCAAACTCACACCTGGTTCTGCTCTGCAGGAGACAAGGATGAACGGAAGAACCGTGGAGGGAAGAACGACTGAGGGAACACGTTCACTGCATTAGCATTACTACTGCTTCCTTTTTATGCTGTATTTTTCAATGCCTTTTATAATTAGTTTGTTAAAAGGCAGATGATCTGTGGCTCCCCCTGCTGTTCAACCAGCAGAGCAGCAGGAGATGAAAATTTCTTTAATGCCTGAAGAACAGCAAAGTCATGTTGTTCCTGGAGCTATGATTACTTCCTTTCAACACAACTAATGACAATTACTAAAATGCTTTAAACCAGGGGTCTTCAACAGGGGGTCCGTGACCCCTAGGGGGGTCGCGAAAGTTTTTATTGATTAGACTTTTCTTTTATATTCCCCCTGCAATTTTTCCACTAATTGAAATGTCTTTAAATCCACATTAACATGAATTGAACAGACTGTAGTAAACAGATAAATGGAGGCAGAAGATGTCTTTCAGTCATCAATGCTCACATTCAGAGACACACAGGAGCTCTTTAAGCTGGACACCATTTCATTCACAACACCTGTCCCATCAACCAGGAATCAGAAATACTTTAATAATCCCAGGGAGGGATTACTTTAGTTACATTACTCCATCTGTAATAGAGCGACTGTAGGACCAGTTTGATAGAGCAAATTTTTCATACAATTTATATAATTAGGGGGTCCCCGCTCTGGCCATCAGTTTGGGGGTCCTTGGTCTGGAAAACCTTGAAGACTCCTGCTTTAAACTGTTTGTCTTAATGGCCATTTCAACATTTATTAGAAGTGCTGTCCTCGATTGTTCCATCTGTGTATCTATAAAATAAGATTCTTCCTGATCTAAACTACATTCCTACTAGGAATGGAACGGTTTATGAAAACCGTCCGAACCGTTCGGTTCAATTGTTTCGGTTCAGTTCGCGTGTGTTGCGGTCGGGTCATGCGCTGCTCCTTTTTCTCATAGGCGAAGCGTTTACAGTCCAAAGCAGAAGGAACCAGCTTAGCCGGGTGTAGCAGGGAAAAAAATCAGTTGTTGTGGAGAAAACTGTGACCACGGAACCTCAAACCGAACCTAATCGTGGATTTTGTGAACCGTTCCACCCCTAATTCCAACTAGTCATAAATGTACCTATATCAGAATCAGATTCTGATTAGGACTAGTAGACATCCTAGATTACATTTTTGCCAGTTTTGTTGGAACATTTTGATTTCTCTTCTATTATATATTAATATTCCTATTTACTCACTATAAAAGTTTTTGAGATGAATCTTTTATTTAAAGTAAATTTCAAAAACTAAATTACAAAACAACAGATTGTTTACAGATTTAAAGATTAATAGAAATCAAATACTGGAAAATTATCTTAAACAATCCTCTTCTTCTACCTTAAAAATAATCAAATAAATAAATGTGATCTAACAAAACAACTTGCTAAATTAAAGATTAATAGGTTAATCATTTTAATGCACTAAAATTAATATAATACTAAAGATTATACATACAAAATAAAAGACCCTCGCAAAAAACTCAGCAGCAACTGTCTTTTCCTGTCGGCTTCAGGACTGGAAAACCAAACGTTTATTATCAGGCCTGTGGTTGTTTAAAAACAGGACGGGTCTGGTTTTGTTCATTTCCTGCTGTCACCATGTTCCATGATGTTATGGACGGACCTGGAGATGAAAACTGAGGCAGATCCAGAGAGAGAAAAGGGTCCAAACATGGTCTGACACAGTAGTAGTAAAATACGCACAGGTTTTAGTCACAAACCAAATTCTCTATTCCCACAGCAGCCAGTCAGAGAGATTAGCTTCATCTCTTCATGACTTTGTGGTATGTTGCTTTGTCCCTGTGCCATGAATGTCTGAGGTTCTGACTAACCCCAAAATCCCTCATACTCCGTCAGAGCTCCGCTCCGCCCCGCTGCGCTCCAGACCGCCTGCACAAAGCAAAGCCTACAGCCGCCGCTGTGGCTCCGTCCCCTCCGCTCTGAGTTCCTTGGAGATCGTAGAGAGCATGCGCCAGATGAACCAGGGTTTCCGCGGATCATTAAAAATAATTACAATTCATAATTCTTTTTTTAATCAAGGCCTTAATTGGCACTAACATTAATTTAATATGTTTATCGTTGGATTTATGATTCTTTAATAAAAATGTTTATAAAAACAATTTTGTCAGATATATTATATCGCTATTAATTTGCGTGGAACTGATCATAAAGTCGTATGTTCGGAAAGGAAGCTCCAGGCGGAGAAAAAGCTAGAGGATATATATATACGTATATATATGTGTGTGTGTGTGTGTGTGTGTTTACATACATACAGGAGTCATGGAACTCTGCTTACAGCTCCTTCATATTTCATGTACACTAATAACTTGTGTACATGGTTCTTGTTGATGGCATTAAAATCATTTCTAATAGCATTAAAATAGCATTAAATTAGAGTCACTCATTCCTGTATGAACCCTGTGAGCTTAATTTAATATGACATATTAAAAAAATCCCACCATCATCCAGCATATGTTCAGTTTCTGCCCAAAGATATATATATATATATATATATTTGTAGATTTTTGTAACGGGGATAAGGATAATTCAAAACTGCTTTTTTTGAATGAACTTGTTCTCTTCTCCCAAACTCAGCATCTCTTTTCATTCCTGTAATAAGAAGTTTCTTTTGAATGGATTTGATTAAACTTTAAGTCCCTCGGTATAAAATAAATATTTTAATGGAGATGAGAAATCTGCTTCCTCGTTGGTGAATAACCAATAGTTTGGATCCAATCATTTAAATAAACGGTGTTAGTTTTTTTTTTTTTTTTTTTTTTTTAGATATTTATAAGAACTGTGCTATAATTTCTAGTCACCAATCTGTTGCTACTATATTTTAATTTGACGAACCGGAATTTGTCGATGTTCTTTTTCCTGTTTGGTGCGATTGCAATTGCGGATCATGACCTGGCCGGACCGGAGCGGAGCAAAAAATAGCTCGGCTCCGTAATTTGTCGGTGACGGACGGAGAAGACGTACGTGGACGGAGACTTGGGGAGGAGTAGCGGTGGATGTGGAACAGCTCTCATTGATTTCCATGAAAGACAAGCGCTCCGCACGACGTACGTCAGCGGGGCGGAGCGGAGCGGAGCGCTGACGGAGTATGTGGAATCTGGGGGTTAGACAGAGAAAAGCTGACTGTTGCTCTGACTGATTATAGATTAGCAAAAATAGATAATTAATTCCTGAAAGATTTGTATCAAAGTGGCATATTTTCCTGACAGTGAAATAATAAAACAAGTATGTTTAAAAATAAATAAAACCTAAAACCTGCTTAATGTATTTAAATCAAGGATGATAAAAATTAAAAAACATCCTAACTTTCAGAATTAGGAGTGAAATAGCTCCTGACATAAAGTTATAAATGGTTGGCTACAGCAGAATATTAACTGATTCGCTGTTTAGAGTTAAAGTACCTGCGTATAAATAGACAGAAAGCGTCCATTTTACCGCTGACCCAGTTACAGGAGGTTCGGTAAAGATGGGCGGGCTAAGCCCCCCCCCCAATGAGAGAAAAGGGCCGGACACACATGAAGGTTTGCAATAATTACGTTTAATCATTTACGTTATGGCCATTTGTTGGTGTTTTGTTTGTCTTATCTGTTTGTCTTATCTGTTTGTCTTATGTGTTTGTCTTATATGTTGTCTGTAGTGTCTGTGGATCCACTCTAACTATTGCATGTTGTCCATTTGTGAAATGATAATTTAGTTTTTTTTGTCTTGGTAAAATAGAAATGAGGGAATAATTAAGGTTAAACTGTAAATTAAGGACAGTTTCTAGTTTCTGTGGCTCATTCTTCCCCCTCACCTGTTTTCAAAACAAAGCAGGAGTTAAATGTGTTAAAGTTAACGCACAGCTGTTTAAATTGGTAATAAAGGGGATTGATATAAGGTTCAAATATCACAACAAATAAAGTTTAATGAGACAGATTTAAAAAAAAATTAAATCAAATGAACAGATTATGCTTGTTTAACAATAATTGGGCATTTCTTCAAATAATCAAGGACCTGTGTCATTATTTAAATCAGAATAAAGGGGCAGAATAATCCCCTCTGATTGGTTAATTAACACATCAGTAGTCCACCTGATGTGTTGAGGACCAGCTGCTCTGCAGACCACCCATTGAACCGCGTTCAAAATGTCGCCTGTATGAGGGACCAACTTCAACAGAAAGATGAAGACGCCCACCTGAAGATGTCTGACATCAGCTTTGGCTTTTTGATTTTTAATCATCCAACATGAATGAGAAGGGAAATGTGTTGTGATGTGTTGCATTTTAATCAAAGATTAACATTTTTAGTGTCTAAGTGTTTGATATTACTTAAAAAAAATTGTTCTATTGTTTTGACTGATTTGAACTTTTCTCTTTCCAGGGAGACAAAGGGTAACTGATAATGATAAGAACTAAAATTTTACATTTTCAGCAAATAGATATTTTACCATAAAAGTATCATCATGGGGAAAAACAGTTAAATGTTTTTGCCAACTAAGGTGTGATTCCAGGGCTCTATTTATTGGCAACATATTTTAGCTATCATAATCTTTTTCATAATTTTTCCATCTATTATAATCATTTAACATTTTCCGCCGACTTAATGCAGTTGTGGATTTTTGATTCATTATTTTTTAATTATCATTATTTTTCTTATTTTTTTAATTTTTTTTTTTTTTTAGTTTTGTAGTTTTTAGCTTTCTTTACATATACTCTCAATTTTAGTTTCTTAGTTTTTTATATTCATAAATTTTCCTTTGTTTTATGATATCGATTACACAAGGATAATATCCTTTTATAATCGAAAGGGTGGACTGTTGTGGGAACATTTGTATTTCTCTTCTATTATATATTAATCTTCATATTTATTCTCTATAAAAGTTTTCACTCAGTCTGTTTCTCTCTCAAGGCCGCATCATTCCCTGCAGGATGGTGTTTGTAGACCAGACATAGCTTCTTCCATAACAATCCAGATTCTTTCTCAGGTTTATTCATAACATGTTACTGTTAACCAAAGTGTGTAATTAGTTTTGACTCTGACTGCTTTCCATTGTTGTAACTAGGGGGGGGACGAACGCTGCCCAGATCAGAACAGAGCAGAATGCTGCCATGATGGCTGCATGATGAACTGTTCTCTCTTTGCAAAGATTATTAATAAATGTGGCGACTGAGTGAAATCCATCGACCTCCGTTTATTTAACTAGGATGAATAGTTGAATACTTTTTTCCCACAACAGTACTGATCTAATGAGCGTAGACATAAACCAGGTAACATTTTGAGTTGAACAATAGTTGTGTTTTATTTATATTTGAAATAAGTTGTACATTTATTCATTTTTTGACTGCGGGTCCAGGAACAGGTGGATCACCTGCTTTCACCGAGTTCTGCTGCTTCTGTCATCCAAGCAGCTGACTGTCCCTGATCTGCTGCTGGTTTTCCTCATCTCTGTTCTTTACTAATGCTGCTCTGGGTCCTCATCATGGATCTGTTTCTACCCTCCATCCCCCTCTCTCTTCCCCTCCTTCTCTCTCTTCCCCTCATCCTACTGCTCCTCCTCCTCTCTCTTCCCCTCATCCTCCTTACTCCTCCTCCTCTCTCTTCCCCTCATCCTCCTGCTCCTCCCCCTCCTCCTCTCTCTTCTCCTCCTCCTGCTCCTCCTCACTGGTTATCTGTTGCTCCTCCTCTTTCTCTGCTCCTGCTGTAATTCTTCTTAAATCGGAGCAGATGTCTCTGTTCTTTCTCTTTATGTCTGTAAATTGACCATCTATCCATCCATCCATCCATCCTGAATTACCAGCTCATCCAGTTAGCTTCATAACTCTGTCAGAAACTCACTAAAAACAGTTGAATGTTACAGTTCATATTTACCCCTTTTCTTTCACAAACTAATGATTTAACTTCTTTACTTACTGTTAGTTTTATACGCTTTCTCACCGTTAAAGCGGGTACAGGCTGAGCCATAGTTCTCTGAGCGCACAAGAGCGGTGTGTGCGCCTGTACCGGTAGCTCATTTGCGCATGCGCAAGCAAACATCGGGTAGGGGAGGGGGAGAGCAGGAGGAATACGGGGAGCTAAACCGATGCTACTACAATTTACACTGGCCTCTTCATATCTGGAAGATTCAAAATAACTTTACAACAGAGGCGTGCACAGACATTTGGGGGGCAGGTGCTCAGGAGGGGGGGAGGGCACTTTTTTGCGCACGTGGAACATTTTTGCGCACGTGGAACACTTAATTATAAGAAAAAATACACACGCATGTTGAATGAATTTCTGAACTCTTCCTCATCTCCTTGCCTGGTAGATGTTGATGGTATAGAGCTTCCCTGCTGTGACTGGCTACAATATAATAATAATAACCATCATGACAATAATAATAATAATAGCTTTAACAAATATGCCACATTAGTTTAAATATTGGGCTATTAGGGCAACATGACTGGAAGTCTTGTCACGTGGATATGACTTATAGTAGCCTACAAAATAATAGCTATTTTAATACCTGCTGATTTTGTACAAACCACTTAAAAATAAAATGTGAACAGCTTTTAAGATTTTTCAATATGATTAACCCTCCTTTCTTGGCATTGTGCTGCAATTACTAAATCAATATACAATAAAGACAATAAAGAGACCAAAATGTGTTAATTTATGTTGCCTAACAAAACCTATACAACAGAAAACATTTATCTTAACACATAGATTTGCAATTGCAAACTCTACCTAAATTATTTGTAGCCTATGTGGTCGTCCTCACGTTATCTGTCATTGACTTGGGCTACAGTGTAAAACTTTATCTAGCCTAACTAGTTTATCAGGTGAGCAGTCGGCAAAATGCTTGTTTGGTGCTGCTGAATGAGACATTTTAACGCACAACAAAATGATTCTGCTTGATCTGTATATTACCTGCTAATGGGGCACGGAGAAGCAGCCTGTCAGCGACCGTTCCTGCTATCTGAAGACGCTTACTGAACTGCTATGATGCTGCGCATCTGGCATGCCCTGCGGGCGACCGCGCGAGGTCACATGACAAAGGAAGAGAGAGAGGCTGGTCGGGTGTGCGTAAGGAGGTGGCTCATTTCGGGGCATTGTTTCAGTCGTTTTTAATGGCTCAGGTTTTCAAAAGATCATTTCAAAACCGACCTAAGTAAAATCTTAATATCAATAATAATAATTAAAAAAAAAAGTTTAAAAAGGGTATTTTCGTTGATAAAGGGCAAACTTCCTAGCGCTTTAGCACCACCTAGTGTCTATGTATGCACGCCCCTGCTTTACAATGTTTTCCTTGATAGGCGCTGAATCAATATGACCTTTGGTAACGTTAGTCTACTTTACAAGGAACAGACGTCAGGCCTAACTAACATCATAGATAGAGAAATAACGTTCTGCAACCTGATTTTTATCATCTGTAAATCAGCAGCTATGCTAGCAGCATTGTGCTTTCATTATGATTTCATTTCTCCATAGATAGTTAATCAGTTTTTATCTGTTTCATCCCGTGTCTCCTCTCCCCATCACCCCTGGCTTCCTCACTTTGCTCCACTCGGTTTTCAAAACCGTCTCAGTCAAAGTCTCAGTCGCTCTCTGTCATCTCGTGCTGCATTCGCTGCAGTCCGACATTGGAAATTAGTAATTCTCAAACTATCCATCATTTATAAGCGTCTCTAACACTTCCGCCAACTGGGCTGGCAGCAGGGGTGGCAAGGCTGTAATTTAGGGGGGCATTTGCCACCCTATGCCACCCCAGTAGATCCGCCTATGTCCAGCTTTGATTGTTGGGGAAGCTGATAAATGGAAGCTGGCCTCCTCAGCTCAGGATCACATGATGGTAATGAGCTGGTTATAAATCCCTCTGATGCTGGTTCTGGTACCAGGTCACCATGAGCTCAGGAAGAAGCAGAAACAACGAGCGGTTTGAGCAGAACCTTCATTTATTGTGAAACACTGATAGAAAGCAAAGCAATGAACCCAGATTACACAGAAACATCAGAAACATGGGATTATTGTTCCAGTCGCACCTCCATAGACAATCAGATGGACTTCTCCTTCGTAAGTCAGGTTCATCATCGAGCTTTATCCCCATAGCAACATCTACCTTCACTTTAAACACCTCCTTCCTTCATGGTGGACGACAAAGTTAATGAGACATGATGAGATTCAGAGGTCCAGAAAAAAAAGAACCAAGCTGTGATATGACCAGCAGATGGCATCACATGATGGGACCATCAGGATGGAGAAGCTGATCCACGGTTCAGACAGAGGAACTGTAGTTCTAGAGATCAGAACCAACCTTCAGCGCATGTTCAGACCGGTTCTGGGTTCAAAGGTCGGAACAGGGAGCAGATCTGAACGGGAAGAGGAGAGAGAGATGGAAACCCTAGAAGTAGATCAACCAGATAGGCTAAGCATGGGTACATTTAGCTGGATCTGTATATCTATGTTCATATTCTACAAAAACAAGCAGGATAGGATTTTAAACCAGTTCTAACTGGTTCCTACCTCTGGCCTTCCTCTTGTAGTAGATGAATCCAGCCAGAGACAGAACCAGACCCAGGATCAGTCCTGAAGCTCCGATGGCCACCTGGTTCCTCTCTGACTCTGGCATGGACGGATCTGAGGACAGGAGGAGACGATATGAGGACAGGAGGAGACGGGATGAGGCAGGAGGAGACAATATGAGGACAGGAGGAGACGGGATGAGGACAGGAGGAGACAATATGAGGACAGGAGGAGACGGGATGAGGACAGGAGGAGACGGTATGAGGACAGGAGGAGACAATATGAGGACAGGAGGAGACACAGAGGAGGAGTCAGACGTTCAGTCATTCAGGTTTTTACCCCAGTCTTTGATCAGAGGTTCCTTCAGGCTGGCGTGTTCCACCCTACAGGAGATCTTCTCTCCAGACCTGCAGAGACCAGAACCATCAGAAGTGGACCAGAACCATCAGAACTGAACCAGAACCATCAGAACTGGACCAGAACCATCAGAACTGGACCAGAACCATCAGAACTGAACCAGAACCATCAGAACTGGACCAGAACCATCAGAACTGAACCAGAACCATCAGAACTGAACCAGAACCATCAGAACTGAGCTTCTCCACAATCTTTGTAATGTGGATCAGCAGCTTATCTGAGTAACCCAGATCCTCCATAGGATCCATCCTGTCAGTCTGAAACCATGAACTGCTGAGTCGTACAAGTCTGCTCTGATGCATGCTGGGTAAAGAGGGAGGGGCCAGAACAACAGCCGGGGACTTTGTCCTTCCTCGGTCTGCTGTTCTAGTGAACTGGAACAGCACTACGGCTGAGGATGACGTTGCACGAGGACACTAGAACGTACAAGAACACAGATTGAAAAAACAGCCTCTGATTCTGTCCGTCAGGTTATCCACTCTAAGCCCCACCCACTTTCCCACCACCTGTCTTAGTTTCATCAGCTGGGTTCATTGGAGCCAATGGAAGGTGTGATGTCAGAGCAGAGGGACAGACTCCAACTCCTGCTGAGCTCACCATATGGACAGAACCGGTCTGAACCAGAACCTGGACCCACCTGGGTGTGTACTCCATTTTAGAGTGGACCTGATAGAGCCATCCCCCATCAGAATGCTCCTCTGTGGAAGTGACATCAGCGGTGACCTCCTGTCCGTCTCTGAGCCAGCTCACTCTTATAGGTTTGGGGTAGAAGCCATAGACGCCGCAGGTCAGCAGGGCAGGATGGCCGCCAGCAGGCAGCTTCATGGCCCTCAGGGTCACAGACGGCCTGACTGGAACATCAGGATGAGGGTTAGAATCATTGATCACCTTCTTCAGTGTTGGATCCTTCAAGTCATCTGGTGCTTTTGACATTTGAACACATCACAAGTCATAACCGGCAATGGATGCACAACTGCCTTAGGTATCAATAATTATCATTGGCTGTAGTTCTAAATAGGGTTAGAGTATTTCCCTATATAAAACCGATGCTAGTAACACCACATACTAACGTGTCTTCAACTTTCTTTATAAACTAATGCAGCTTTATTTCAACAAGGCTTTAAACAGTAATGTTACATTATATTTTTTTGTTTTCTGATCCACTCATTACATTAGACTGCTGGAATAGGACTAGAGAGTCCCTTTCAGATACGGTAACCAGACGTCCCTGATTTCTGGGGACAGTCCCCGTTTTGGACCACCAGTCTAACCTGGCTAAAACTGTTCCTGGAAATGTCCCAGATCTTACCGGTTTATGAATGAGGGTGGAAAGTGTTGTTTGTAGGCTGTTATTACGGTAGAAACTGCGTGTGGGCAGGCTGTGCGCAGTTATAGCTGTACTTCTTTTGGAATGACTGAGAATCTTCACCAGCACTTAGAACTAAGCATAGACTTCCAGGAGTAGATCTACTTTTCTACCACTCAGGTTGAATCTATGGAAGTTCCTCATTATAAAAAATAAGAGGCAGTAGAAGGAAAACTGAATGAGACAAGATCTGCATGATCTGAGAATGATGGAGGAAGAGATAGCCGCCTGTTTCTATTTTCCACCTGAGCCGAGGAAAATAGAAACACTTATGGAAAGATCAGTTAAAGGGAAGGAAGGAAAATCTACTCAGAAGCGTCGACTGAATGACCAGATGGCCTAATAACCACTATTGATTGATTCATTTGATTAATCTTAGGAAATAGGAGAGGCACATTCCTGGATTTTACACCTGATTTTTGTTGTTTTAATAGCAATAAATATGTAAAAAATGGATGACAGCGTCACTGTCCCAGATTACTATATTCATATTGATGACATGTATTTATTTTGAGCAAGAGGAAATTTCCCCAGATTGGATTTTTGGGTAATCTGCTCACAATACTTGCAGATGAAGTCGCACATGTCTGCTAGTTATTAGCTCCACTGTCTTATTAAACAAAGCACTTAGATTTATGATCAGTTTGTCTTCAGACACGTTTTATTCCGTCTGGGATCTACTTGTAAGATCTAAAGGTCCTGTGTTCGTGGAGGTTTTCTTTCCTGTTTGGTATTTTTCATCTGTTGACATTTTAAAGTGCATGTTAGGATGATTTTCTATTGTTAATGTGCAGTCTGCTCTATCTGAGCAACTATTTTTGTTGTTTGTTCAAAACCTGATAAATACCATATGGTCAGTTCAGCTGCACTATAACTACCTCCAGTGATTATTACATATTTCAGTTAATGTTTGGAATAAGAATGAGATTTTGTTGCAGGAAAATCTGTTGCTAACCTTCAGATCCGAAGCCTCAGAAATCTGTTTCTTATTTTGCCTGTGACTATTTAAAACAAGGAAATTACTTTATTCCCCAGTTTTATAAAGTCCATTGAGAAGTGAGAAGCTTTTTTTTTTGTAGTCTAAAGAAGGATATTTTTTTGTTGTTGCGTCAAACAGACGATAATGGTCTATTTTATTCATCAATAACCTAAAATGTTTTCTACGCCAAGCTGTGAATATAGTCATACAGCGTGTGATGTCACAGAGGCATAAACTCACCTGATTTATTTAAGATATTTCTGTACCAGACCCCAGCATTATGCTGACAGAACAGCTCCTTCTGAGCACGCTTCACCCTCAGAACTTCAGGTTGGCTATTTAAGTTGTCAGCCTGTCTCAGACCAAACTGGGTGTATCCAACATAAAGCCCAACATTGCTGTCAAATCTGAGAAACTCCACCTTGTTGTAAATGTAGGAGTAGATGTACTGGATGTCCTTCAGCTCAGTGGAGTTAAACAGACAGCGGAACTCTGAATGGACTACAAAACCACCTGGAAGAGAAGGAATGTAGATTTTCTGGTTAATAAAAAACCTGCATCAACCAATGAGAGAAGCTGATCTGGGAGCTGGCAGGGAGTCAGACGCAGCACTGCTGATGCAGAGCGCTATGATCACTCCTCTGAAACAGTTTATTAACGCCTAAATTAACTTCAAATGTAGAAACCTGCTGGCAGAATATGTTGGCTTTTATTATCCTGCTGCCTGCAGTTTAGATTATATAGATGAAAACCACCGACCAGCACTGTGGTGAGCCGCGAGGAGGCGACCCGGCCAGAGGCTGCTGTGAAATTAAGTTTTCAGGTGGATTTTCCCACTTAAAAACATATTAAAGCTACTTTATTCCCACTGATCACAGCAAATATAGCTGCAAGGCAGAGAAAGGATAGTGAAGCTCCGCCCAACGCGCGTCAGACACACTTTTGCACCGCGCAGCCAGAGCAGCAAAGCTGCTTCAGCTGCGCGTCAGAACTAACTGGTACAATCTAACCTGCAGGCACCAGGATAATAAAAGCCAACATATTCTGCCGGCAGATTTCTGCATTTTAAGTTAATTGATGCGTCAATAAACTGTTTCAGAGGAGCGATCACAGCGCTCTGTGTCATCAGCGATGTGTCTGTCCCACGGCCAGCTCCCAGGTATGATTAATACTTTGTAATAAATACATGAATAAAGCACAGTCATACTCAGTTTTGCTCCCGCTCTATTTTTGAATACACAGTAGAGGTATTTAAACGTAGTAAAGGAAAGAACCGGTATATAAGAAAACCCTATTGTCCGGTGCGCCTTATGTGTGTGTTAAATACAGAGATGGCACATATAACTGAGACTGCGCCTTTTAGTACAGTGCGCCTTATGGTCGTGAAAATACGGTAGATTCCCTTTGCCTTTCCAACATGCCATAAAACCTGTTTTATAGAGCAGTTTGTCACAGTAACGATGACAAGACTGAAATCGAAAAAGTTAAAAATGACTCAGACGTTTACCGGATTTGCATTCAGTTCCTAGAATTTGTGTTCTTGGTCTTTTATTAGATAAATTACCTGAACAATATAGAACAGTTGGCTGTATAGATCCTGAAGCCATCCACTTACTTTTAGTATGCTGGTATTTTGTTTCGTAAAAATACATAATTCTTCAGGCCAATAATATGCATAAATCTAGACCTGCATGTCGTTTTCTATCTAGCTGTTTCTGGGTAAACTGAAACACTGCCAAGGTTGAAATCTAGACAAGTCATGTTACCTTTGATCTTGAATTGAGCTGGTAAGTGAGACACTTTCCCAAAATAAGAAAACAGAACTGCATAATATTATTTGATTACGGGTATTTAAGAATTTTTTTCAATTTTTTAAGCAAGTTTCTTTTTTTTTTTATACTTTAAATGCATAGTTTCCCTTCTTTGTTGTACCGGGGATTCTAAATAAACCTTTACCAGCATTCATTGCATTCTTCCTGAAATTATGGACTAACTTCCTCATGCTAAAGACATACAGATATGTTTTCACTTGGTTCTTTGATGGAGTCAAGTTTTTCATTGCAGTTCTCATGTGTTCCCTCTGCTGAGTAAAGGTGCATACATTTAATATGATTAATTTAACTTACCGTTTGGATTAATAAAGTACTTTTGAATTGAATTACGTGGAATTATTTTATATTTGAATTCCCTTGAGGCATGAAGGTACAACCACAAGCTCTTCCATCTGTGCATTTAAAATGAGTTGGATTATCTTAATATGTTTATTGGCCTAAACTTGAATACCTTTTAAAGTGCGTAACTCTACATTAAATCCCACAACCGGACTGAAGAAGATCTAAGTTGTAACACAGACTATGTATCTACCATTTAGAAATAGAAACAGACAAACCCTTTACTGTCACTTATTATCTTAATTTCTATTTTTTATTTTCAGGTTTAATTTTAGATCATGTCATTCAGAGTCTCCAACGGGTTTTTGATTAGACACTTCTTACAAGTTTGATCCACAGAGTGAGAAGGTTAGCTGTGGTGTAACTAAACATCCCACATAAGTCATCATTTTTTTTATCTTCCATTTTGTTTCCAGAAAATAACCTCAACATCCCCTTAAACTCCACAAGAACAAGATTGAAGGTTCCTACCTACTATCTCGATGGGGATAAAGACAAGGAGAACTCGGAGAAGAGACATTATCGTTCGCTGACGCTGAACACTTGACTGCTACAATCTGAGCTTCTTAGAGCTTGAAAAACAGACAAATTGATCACATGACTGCTGTGGCATCTGATACCCACGTCATTAAAAAAAGAAAAAAACTTCCTTTTTTAAACTGAAAATACTATTTGTAGTTGGGTAAACCTGAAAAACTGAGCACCTGATCTTCAGACATTCAGAATAAGGGATCCTAAATTGCACATTCATGTTTTTTGTAGTAGTAGATGTAATAAATGCCCATGTTGAGGGTGATACAGAAAGAGAGCTGAACAAACCGGTTTGGTAGCATCCATTAAATGAGCAGGTTGCGTACAGGCAGCTCAGAGTGGCTGTAAAGGAAAGATGAGGTTTCAAATATTAATTATACCTCCATATCAGCCGATTACTCCAGGCTTTGTTCTGTCCCACATATATACTCTACCTTTGCAGTTCCTCAGTGCTGCTCCTTGTTGTTACTCTGACCCTCATGTGTTTTTGCCTGGCATCGCCCGGTTTTTGGTTTTGTGTATTTTGTTCCTTGATTTGTGTTTCTGTTGCCTTCAATAAATGAGCAAAACTCATCTCTGTATTTGGGTTGTCAACGATCCTCCACCCTGACGACATCAGCAAAATCAAGCCCGGACGCATTTAAATTCAGTTTGATTTACCAAATTATCTATTAAGAGATTCAAATTACAGCCATTAGAGTCACATTTTGGCCCAAAATGTAATGTGTGCATCTTCAAAATAATACATGGTTGTGTTGTAAGTGGATGCTTCCACTCTCTGGATGCTTTGACAATCTGGATGCTCTGTGCTCTTGATTTTCAATGCTGTGGATGCTCAACGCTCTTGATGCTTCGACGTTCTTGATGCTAGATACACTTGATGCTCGGCACTCTGGATGCTTGAAGGCTCTTGATGCTCGACGTTTTTGATACTGGATGCTCTCGATGATTCGACCCTCTGGATGCTTGGTACTCTGGATGCTTAGAGGCACTTGATGCTTGATAATCTGGATGCTTCAACGCCCTGGATGCTCAGTGTTATGGATGCTTAGAGGCTCTTGATGCTTTATGCTCTGGATTCTTCGACGCCCTGAATGCTCGATACTCTGCATGCTCAGCGCTCTGAATGCTTAGAGGCTCTTGATGCTTTATGCTCTGGATGCTTCAACGCCCTGGATGCTCAGTGCTATGGATGCTTAGAGGCTCTTGATGCTTGATGCTCTGGATTCTTCGACGCCCTGGATGCTCAGTGCTATGGATGCTTAGAGGCTCTTGATGCTTGATGCTCTGGAATCTTCGACGCCCTGGATGCTCAGTGCTATGGATGCTTAGAGGCTCTTGATGCTTGATGCTCTGGATTCTTCAACGCCCTGGATGCTCAGTGCTATGGATGCTTAGAGGCTCTTGATGCTTGATGCTCTGGATTCTTCGACGCCCTGAATGCTCGATACTCTGGATGCTCAGCGCTCTGAATGCTTAGAGGCTCTTGATGCTTTATGCTCTGGATGCTTCAACGCCCTGGATGCTCAGTGCTATGGATGCTTAGAGGCTCTTGATGCTTTATGCTCTGGATGCTTCAACGCCCTGGATGCTCAGTGCTATGGATGCTTAGAGGCTCTTGATGCTTTATGCTCTGGATGCTTCAACGCCCTGGATGCTCAGCGCTCTGAATGCTTAGAGGCTCTTGATGCTTGATGCTTTGGATGCTTCGACACTCTGTATGCTGGACGCTCTGGATGCTCGACGCTCTGGATGCTCGGCGCACTGGATGCTTAGAGGCTCTTGATGCTTGATGCTCTGGATTCTTCGACGCCCTGAATGCTCGATACTCTGGATGCTCAGCGCTCTGAATGCTTAGAGGCTCTTGATGCTTTATGCTCTGGATGCTTCAACGCCCTGGATACTCAGTGCTATGGATGCTTAGAGGCTCTTGATGCTTTATGCTCTGGATGCTTCGACACTCTGTATGCTGGACGCTCTGTATGCTGGACGCTCTGGATGCTCGACGCTCTGGATGCTCGATGCTCTGGATGCTCGGCGCACTGGATGCTTAGAGGCTCTTGATGCTTTATGCTCTGGATGCTCGGCGCACTGGATGCTTAGAGGCTCTTGATGCTTGATGCTCTGGATTCTTCCACGCCCTGAATGCTCGATACTCTGGATGCTCAGTGCTCTGAATGCTTAGAGGCTCTTGATGCTTTATGCTCTGGATGCTTCAACGCCCTGGATGCTCAGTGCTATGGATGCTTAGAGGCTCTTGATGCTTTATGCTCTGGATGCTTCAACGCCCTGGATGCTCAGTGCTATGGATGCTTAGAGGCTCTTGATGCTTTGGATGCTCCGACACTCTGTATGCTGGACGCTCTGGATGCTCGACGCTCTGGATGCTCGGCGCACTGGATGCTTAGAGGCTCTTGATGCTTGATGCTCTGGATTCTTCGACGCCCTGAATGCTCGATACTCTGGATGCTCAGCGCTCTGAATGCTTAGAGGCTCTTGATGCTTTATGCTCTGGATGCTTCAACGCCCTGGATGCTCAGTGCTATGGATGCTTAGAGGCTCTTGATGCTTTATGCTCTGGATGCTTCGACACTCTGTATGCTGGACGCTCTGTATGCTGGACGCTCTGGATGCTCGACGCTCTGGATGCTCGATGCTCTGGATGCTCGGCGCACTGGATGCTTAGAGGCTCTTGATGCTCGGCGCTCTGAATGCTTAAAGGCTCTTGATGCTCGACGATCTGGATGCTTAGAGGCTCTTGATGCTCGGCGCTCTGGATGCTGGACGCTCGGTGCACTGTTTTTTTTTTTACCTGCTCTTTTCTGTAGCTTCAAGCTAGAGAGCAGTTTGGCTTTATTTACTTTATGAGTTAAAAATCATCAGTTCATCAGGATTATAATCCTACTAAAATATCCAGTCCTCCAGCATACCACCGGGAGGCAGTTCTGGAAATCCCAGCTGAAAGCTCTCTGCTGCAGCCAGCCTGTGGGAGATTTCCTGCTGCTGTTTGTAGCGGCTGGAAGTGAATAGAAACAGATTTTAAGGTTTGTGGTAAAAACTGCAAGAACCTTAATATAGAATTCAATATTTTTCATCAGCAGGTTTTAACATTTCTAGTTAAAGCTGAGGTTCCCACGTTATGTTCTTCAATTTAAAACAGTATTGTAAAAGTAATAATTTCAGAAAAATCTGCACCTTAGAATTATTTTGGTAAAACTGAGACTAAGTCGTAGTGTCAACCCCTGCAGCTCCATCAACCGACTTTAGAGAAAAGTTGAACTAAAATGGAATTTTAATTCAGCTTTATACACAGAGCCAGTCTACCTGGTTACTGATGACATCACTTAAACCATGCCCCTTGATTGGCTGGTAGGAAGCCAAGGTTAGCAACCAGGTGCTGCTACACCTCAGATGACAGACCTCAGCTGATGGAGAATATGGAGCTGCTTTTTCTCCTCTGTCTGGTTCTCTGTGTTTCATCTGATGGTAAAGATCTGATCTACTCAAATACTTATTTCGGTCACAACGATTACCTGCTTTAAATGTACGGTTTTTGTTCTCTTGTCAGGTCTACATGACAGTTTCAAATTAATTGCATGTACAGACACTGAAGGGGTCTACATGATTACACTGGATGATGAAGAAGTTTGGCACGCTGACTTTATCCAACAAAAAGGAGTTGATACCATGCCGGACTTTGTCAGCCATCCAAGCACTGAGGGATTATTTGAGCAATCTTTAGGTCAACAAGAAGTCTGCAAATATAACCTAAAGAGGATCCGTAAGGGTTTGAAGGACATCCCTGATGCATTCGGTGAGAATCAATCATCTCCACCTTCTTGCAGCTGTTAGAAAACCTTGATCAGACAGACTTCTAATGTTTGGGAGTCAAAGAAGTTCAGACAGGATCGTAACTAAAATGAGACTGAGGATAAAAGTGATACTGAGATGTTTCAGACATTTGGTTACTGCTTTAGTCTAGGTTGGTGCTCTGCTGCAGTCTCTCTGGGTTTCATGATGGTTAATGTTTGCTGTGATCATGTCTGGACACAGATGCTCCCTCCGCCCTGGTCTACAGCGCTAACAGCGTGGAGCTGGGAGAGAAGAACATCCTGGTCTGTCATGTCTCTGGTTTCTATCCTGCTCCTGTCAACGTCTCCTGGACCAAGAACGGCCAGAAGGTGACTGAAGGAACCAGCATCAACGTTCCCTATCCCAGTAAGGACAGCACCTTCACCCAGATCTCCAGACTGGACTTCATCCCTCAGCTGGGAGACGTCTACAGCTGCTCAGTGGAGCATCCTGCCCTACAGGAACCAACAACCACAATATGGGGTGAGGAACCTTGATCTGTCACCATGTTACACCTGAAGGACCAGTAAACTGGCTGACTCATGTCTCTGTCTGCAGAAGTGGAGCTGGACGGTCCTCAGCCCAGTATTGGACCAGCTGTGTTCTGTGGCGTCGGTCTGACGGTGGGTCTTCTTGGTGTGACCATTGGAACCTTCTTCCTGATCAAAGGGAACGAGCTGATTGGTCCAAGCTGATGGGTCCAAAGACCTGCCGGTGTCCTGCTGTACCAGTGACAGGATCAGGACCTAGTTGTGACCCTAACACTGCTCCCCCCATGGTGGATTCTTCTGTTACCTCCTCAGATTCTCTCAGGCCTTCCTTAGGACCCATGGTTGATGTGAACACTATAATCTTTAAATGTAAGTCTCTGGATGTTCTGGAACATGTTTCTCTGAAATGCCTCAAAAAGTCCAACTGATGTAATCTTATTTAAAGACAATGAAGGTGCTTTCTTTGGTTTAGTGATTAAATCAACTGTCCTTTTCTCTGCTGTCAGACTGCTAAACACTTTATAAATAAACGGGTATTGAAAGCATGTTACTGATGGACGCCTAAGGTTGTGTTCTAGATGTTCTAAGGTTGTGTTCTAGATACTCTTTTGATTTTTACCACAGTAAAGATTTAAATATAGAGTGTTTATATAAACTCAAAGATTGTTATAATCCCAGCTTCCTGTGTACCTTCATGTCTCTGTGTTTCTCACTGGGCTGCTTTTACACCTGAGCACTAATGAAGAACCAAATACATCTCTATCCTAATCCATATAAATATGTAATTAATCAGTCAGTTTTACTTGCTAATCTGACCTGGTGTTGTGAATTAAAGGTGTAAATAATGAATGGTAAATTGTAGTTATCCATGTAAGGTCAGCTTTTGAGTTAACTATCTAAATGATTACTCAGGGAAACCAACCAGAAGAAGCCCCCCCTGCTGGCAGTCTGGTAAATGTCTGATAGGTTTAAAAAATGAAGGGTGGATTCTACCTTTCTAAACAGTTGGATCTGTTTATGTTATATATTCAGAAACACATTTAGACGGGTATTCAGATTGACTTAAAACAACAAAAACAGAATAATGTCTAAAATGTTTGAAATCCCAGACGTCACCAGGTTATAAAGAAATGAAAGAGGAGGCTGGACTGAGAACCACAAAGACACTTTGGTTAGGAGTCTCCAGATGAGCCCGTAGCAAATTGATTTAAAGAAAAATAAAAGCTACATTTCTTATTGCTGTAGCGGACCCAGCCATCTATTCTATTTCAGAACCTTGGAGAGGTGAATGATAAGTTTGCAGAGCTCCTGAACTTCCCCAACATGAAGAACTGGAGCGGCACGGTCAACCACCAAGTACTGCTCCACCAATTCAACCAGAAACTGATGGAACAGAACCTGCAACTAAAATGCAGAATTTCCCACCAAAGAACACAAACATGGAAGTGTTGACCTTCCTGAATAAGAAGACAGAAATCTGCCCCCCAGGTGGGTTTCTCTGAGAATCTCTGTCTCTGCTGCAGAAAGAAGCTTCCCCAGTGTAGCGGCTAAAATCCTATATTTTAGGCTACTGGTGGTTTCTATTGGAAGGCATTGGTTTTACGTGCGCTCAATTAAGATTTAGAATGCCGATCTTCCGTTTGACATAAAACAAAGTCATTTATTTTCAGCACAAAGTCCATTCTCTTACTGTTTCCTTCAAGATCCACATAAATCCAACCAAGCACAGTAGAAAACTGTTTGCCTCAGCCTATTAACCACACCTGAACAGAATTGATGGTTGACCTTAAATAACCCATCCCCTCATCAAACACTCAGAACTCAAAATTAAATACGCCCCCTGGTGGCGACAAACACCAAAGGATAATTGGCTCCTACACGCCAGCCCCTAATTGCGTGTGGCAATTATTAAACTTAAAGGAAAAAAGGAGCCACAAATAAAGACATATCTGGATACAGATATACATAAGAAGCAAATCAGGTTTATGCATTCATCATTATTCTATCAGTTTTCAGTTTGAAGCTTCACATAATAGACAGATTTTTGTTACAGGTCTTTCAATAATGTTTGTTTTCGTTTGAAGATGAACCACTCGTACCAGACCCTTTTTATCTGGAAAAGTTTTAATAACTTTCCCTAATATCCATGACCCTCGAGGTGTTGTGGAGTCCATAACCACCACCACGTCTCCAGGAATGAAACCTCTCCTTTTCTTTATCCATTTTTGTCTTTCCTGTAACAACGGTAGATATTCTCGAATCCAACGCTTCCAAAGGAGATCTGAAATATATTGGAGTTGTTTCCACCTTCTTTTAGCGTAAAGATCATTTTTGTCAAAGAGTCCTGGTGGGAGAGCTGGTTTTCCCTTCTTGAATTTTCTTTTCAAACCATGTATGCGCTGCAGGGCAACAAAACTGTTGTTTGGCATAAAGAGTTCTTCCCTTTTGAAAGGCAGTTTCAGTTTGTAATGTCCATTCTCTAGCTGTGCAGAGAGATCCATTATGTCTAGGAATTTTTGTTCCTCTCTGGACATTTCCTCTTTTTCCGTAAAAGACTTTTCAATAAAGTCATAGTTGTATTGACTGATCAGAAGCTCTTCAATTTTATCAACTGTAGTTCTGTTGACATGAACTGAAGGGTAGTCATTTTCAGAATTATTTTAATCTTCTGCTGAAGCATTTACAACCCATCCTAGGAGGCTTCTGATTGCATAGGGCCCTTTACCCTGACTATTTATCACCTCCCAAGGTTCCATTAGTTTGGATGCATTGGTTCCCACTAGTAGGTCCACACCAGCATGTATGCGAGGAAAGTTGATGTCCTTTAAGTACGACCATTTAGACAGTTCCTCCTCACTGATGATGTTGTCGGTGGAGACAGGCATTTCCTTTTGTGTAAACACAATGGGAAGCTGATAGAAATGGCTTCCATTTATTTCTGAAATCTCCAGCCCTTTAATTATAGAGGTTGCCACTGTTTTACTCTGACCCATTGTCCGGAGATGAATCTGCGTCTTTCGACCTTGAATGTTGAGTTCATTAAGAAGTCTTTCAGAGCAGAATGTATCTGTGCTCCCTGGATCCAGAAAAGCATACGTTTTAATGACTTTAGTTCCCTTTGAACTTTTCACTTTGACAGGCAGGATGGGAAGAATCCCTCTATGGTGGCCAGCCCCAGTATGACCACAAGTAGAAGAGGCTTTGCAGCCCTTTGCTGCTTGATCCAACTCCTTCTGCTGAATTTTTTCCTTCTGTTCAATGTGCAAAATGCTAGGATGCTTTTGGTTACAGTGTTTGCAAGTGATGCGCTTAACACAGTTCTTGCTTAAATGTCCTGTATTCAAGCAACTAAAACACAAACCTTTGTCTTTTAGGAAGTCTAGTTTTTCCCTGTGTGACCTCTTTCCTAATTGTCGACATTGTTCCAATACATGACCATCCTGTGTACAATACAGACAGGATAAATAATGTGATTTGTCAACAACAGCTACTTCATTTTTGAGAGAAGGCATGTTATCGTCATCTCTAACACAAACATGGGTTACAAAGCTGTTTCTTTTGAACTGTGACTTTATTTGAGGTTTGCTAGGTCTTATGATCCCCCTGACAGGTTGAGAGTCCTGTATATCTCCAAAAACTGGATCTGAGATTATTCTAATCTGGTGTTCAACAAAAGCAACAATATCTCTGAAACGTGCTCTTTGACTCGTTGTCTCAAAAATTTCATTTGCTTTTGTTCTCCATTTTTCTCTTAGTTTAAAAGGCAATTTTTGAACCAAGGTTTTCATGTTAGCTGGCAAGCTTAACTCATCCAAATACTGCAGTTCCTCCATTGCATTGCAGCATTCACAAAGGAACAGTCCAAACGCCTTTAATGCTTTAGCATCTTCACCTTTAATGTTGGGCCAACCAGTGACCTTTTCCATGTAGGCTGCAGTGATATTAAATTCATTGCCGAAATGTTCTTTGAGGAGTTGCTTGGCCACGGCATATCCTCTTTCTGCAGTCATGTGAAGGCAGCTGCGTACGAGGTCTCTTGGTTGCCCCCTGGTGTACTGTTCAAGGAAGTACAAACAATCTCCTTTAGAGCTGGTCTTTGCTTCCACACAACGTTCAAAGGATTTCATAAATGAGTTGAACTGCAAAGGATCTCCATCATAGATGGGAATTACTCGATGTGGCAGTAACTGGCTTGATTGCATTTGAACCAGAAGAGCTGTTATGTCATTCTGCTGTTTCAACACATTGTAGAGGTCTCCAGCAGGTTGATTTTGATTTGATGGAAGCAAACTGTTTTGAGTGGTAACATTGGGATCAGAAAAAATAGAAGCTTTAGAAGTTTGAACAACAGGAGGAGCTGTTTTTGACACCAAAGTATTAAAAACAGTGTCATCCACCTGATGTGGAACATGTTTTTCGTAGGCTGTGTTTAGACCTGACTCAAACTCTTTATTCAAAAGCAGTCCAGCATCTTCTTGAAGCTTCTTTGCAGGTTTAGTAACCAACTGTGAAGCTTGTGGAAGGAGTAAAGTGGGCCTGATCTTGGGTTTAGCACTTTTTGTAACATATGAATTCATCCCATCAGAAAGTTTGGACGCAATGCTGCCTTTAGTGCTACCCTCTAGCACCATTAGCTTGGCATTAGCAGCAGCAATTTTAGTGTCCATCTCAAGTTGTTCTTTTCTTTTCTTTAACAGGTATTCCTGTTCCTCCAATGCATGTTTCTCTTTTAAAGCAGCTGCACATGCCAGGAGTGCAGCTCTCTCTGCTTCTGCCTTTATTTGTTCAGAAAGCATTGACGATCTGCTGGTTGTTACAGAAGAACCCCTTTGACTCCCAGTTTTTCTAAAAGACCTTACAGAAACATTTGAAATGCTGTCATGAGGTTCAATCTGTAGCTCCATTTCCATCATGCCATCACTGGCAGTGTTTGGTTCAGCTTCCTTATTTTCACTCATTTTCTTTCATATCAGGCACACCAGTTGAGCAACCTTGTGCCTCAGTCAACCATTTATGAGTAGCAACAACAAAATCATGAACATTCAACATTTTAGCTTTAAACCATACATCATGCTTCTGTGCTTCATCCACAGGCAATAAACCCAACAAAACCTGGTGTACCTTTTGTGTTTCTTCAGACAAACCCAAAAACCTTTTAAATTCTCACTTAATGTCATTCACACACCCTTTTTCATTTTTCAACACTGTAATAGTTTGTCTTAACTTTGTGAGCTTATTTAACTTTGTTTTTCTTTCACTTTCTAAGTTATGAATTTTCACCAACAAAGCCTTGGCTGTTAATTTCACCTC